TAGGTCATGCACCACATCAGACACATGCTGTGGGGGACAAGCTGTAACAGGACATCCACAAAGGCAGCTGTGACACCCCCTTAGTTCTTCCCTGATCATACTCCAGCCCCTCAAGGTCTCACTCTGCCTCCATGTCTTCCACACTTCAATGGTATTTATAACGAGGGGAGGCTGGTGAGCTCTGGGTGCTCTTTCTAGTTCTCTGTTCCTCCTTAGGCCTGACTTGGTCCACTTGACTTGGGGCTCTGACCCCATCGAACACAGTCTATCGGCCTGGGGCTCTGACCCTGCTGCACCCCATCTCTCCCTAGGCCTGGGGCTCTGACTCCATTGTACATAGTCTCTTTTTACGGCTTGGACACCGCTGGCCCTAACTGCCTTCAGGACTAAATTTGTAGCCTATGTACTACTCTACAGCCACACCTTTGCCTCTCAGGTATTACTCTGTCAATGTTTTTCCTTCCTGTAGTGGCCTCAGCCCTTTTGGCTTTAACCCATCAGTATTCTGGCTGTGGGCTTCCAGCTCTGTCCCACTTGTTTAAGCTGTGCTTTCTTTCCCTAAGCCCCTCACTGTTGATTACACTAGGCCCATGGCTCTTGGCCCTTTCTGCCTCAGCCTGCCCATGCCTCATTCCCTGGGCCGCTGGCCCTGTCTTATATTTTGTCCTAGCTCCCTGGTGCTTCTGGCCTAGGCAAAGCTGTTCCCTGTCAATCCCAGCCCCCTGGAGTACCTGACTAAAGACTAGGCTACTCTAGGTCCAGCCCAGCCCCGCTACTCCCCAAGTGTCCCTGACCCAGAGCAAATATGCTCTCCACCCTCTCAACAGTCTGGCTTTAGCCTCCATGTAACTATCTGGGTGTCAGACCCTGGAAGAGCAATATTTAGGTGTTAACCTCTCAAACTACAGGGTGCTTTCCAGGCAGCCCCACCTGTAGCCTTCATACCACCCTTCTAGCCACACCTGGTCCTCTAGTTCATCTGTACCAGCTGCAATGCCCTCCTAAACCCCCTCCATGGTCTCCCAGGGTCCCATCCACTCCTACAGTGTAGCTGCTGGGTCTTGCAGCTTCCCTGGGTACCAGTGCTGCCTGGGTTCCCTTCTGTTGCCACCCAGGCCAGCAGGAGACAGGGCAAGACTGAGCTTCAGGCTTTTAATATGCCGAGTCACATGGCTGGTGTTAGTGGTGTGTGGCTCCCATGTCCCCCCATAATTGTGGCAGTGGGAGAAGTGGCTGCAGAGGCCCACAGGGTACCAGTTGGGCAGCCCTGATGTAGATGAAGGAGCAAGCTACAGGCTGTTTTTTGATGCTCCCTCTCTGAGGCTCCAAATGCTTGTTATGTCAAAGTTGGGAAGAGTACACCTGAAGTGGGGCTGGGAGTAAGTGGGAGTGAAGCTGCTTTATGTAACCGTGAGAGGCTTGGTAGCCACTGGAGGCTGCTGAAGTTTATGCATACCCTCAGGCCTGTCTACATTATGCTTAGGAAAAAGTGCTTAAGGGATACTTTAATGGCCATGTAATAAATTCTGTTTTGGTGGGTCTGAGGCCCTCTCTGGACTTAGACCAGAGTAGTTTGTGGCAAGTAGTTCATTTTGTCCAGAGACAAACCATTTCTGTCTCCCATAATAACAAGACAATCCTCAGATCATGCTCCAGTTTCCTTCCCAAGGCTTTCTTTTTTTTCCCCAAAGTATTGCATAAGATAACTCTGTTTGGAGAGAGAAGAGAGACACCCTGTAGCGAGCAAAGAGAGAGGCAATGGCCCCTAAAGCCTCCAGTGGCTCATATGTAGATTAAAGCCTCTTTGAATCCTCCAAAAGTTCCACTAATGTACAACCTTTGGTCATTATTTACTATGGTGCAGCCAATCAAAGAAAGGGAACATAAGCAGAAACACAGCTGACATCATAAAAGCTGAATACATGTGAAGTATTTCAAAAACAGATTATTGGTGTACCCATGCCATTTAATGAAAATAACAACCTCATCCAAGCATAGCTATTTAGTCATAAGCATTGCAGCAAGTCACCAGAGTAAACTGCCTAATTTACTTTGATGCTGATCTCCAGTAGAGATGTATAAGCAATAAAATGATTCCTAGCAACGTATATGCACTGATGACCCTTTATCTTAAAAGTGATGTAAAAACCAAATCCCAAGAGCCTTTCCAAAATGTTTTACTTTTGATTCTTTTTTTTTCCTTTATGTAATGGCTAGGAATAGAGCTTTGTTACAGATGCACCTTTAGTGTGGACCAGGTAGATGTAGAGCTGTGTCAAAAGTAGAAACCTCATACAAAGTAGGTGAGAAATGGCAAAGGTATTTCTGACAGTTTGTTGTTTTGCAGGAAATTAAGACAGCCTTTTAAGCATATTATTCATTTTAATGGTACTGATTCAAATCCTAAAGTCTTTATTTATGCCTACCTGATTTCATTGGGAAGTTTACTTGAATAAGGATTTCGCAAGGATTTGGCTGTTCCATAGGATATACTCACAACTAGCAGTACACGCATAGGAGCCCAAGAGAGAAAATAAGCCATGAATATAAGGCCTAACGCTTACACTGGATGAATTACATTAACTTTGCCTTCTAGGGTCACCCTATTCTCATACTGCTTAAATGGACTCCTAGGCAGATGAGATTATTGGCTAGAAATGTCTAGGGCGTCTTCTTATTTAGAAAGGATTCTCGTTTCTACATGAAACCCACAGTGTCATGACGTCAGTGGGGTTTTTATACATGAATCTGAAACCATAATTTGGCCCTTAGCTCTCAACTTTTATAAAGAAGAACACTTCCATTTCAGGGGGTAAAGGTCAGTTGAAGATTTCTTGAAATCCTGCAAGGATTGAGTGTTTTGAGCCAATTCTGTTCTCAGCTTCTCCAAGTAAAGTCTGGATTAACTCCTGATTTCTTTTTAGTTTCCTGATCCTTGTTGATACAATAAAGAAAAATGTTTTTAATATTGTTTTCTTTATTTCAAATTGTCACAGCTCAAGAGATGATATAATACCATCAACAGCAAAAAATTCTTATGCTAAAGTATACCAATCCACAGAATAATTGAGTTTAAAATAGCAAAGGTCATTTACATCTAAATACATATCTTTGAGAGGTTTTTGTTCTAAATCATGGCAGAAATAATGACTGCTTTCATGCTGAGTTATTTTGCTTTGTATAATAATTGCATATATTACTGCCTAGAGTTTATTGTTGTTCTACCTCACTCTAGGCGAGTAGCAGCATTTCAGCACTGCTGGAGTCATTCCAGCTGGATCAAAGTGGCATGAAAATGGTGGAAACTTCTGTTCCAGTTATGTCTGCTACGCACATTGTTTGGGAAACAAAAATGTGTTTCAAATGCTAATTGAGCTCATGTTTATCTCCTGAAGGAAGATTTTCCAAACAAAATATTGAGTATATACCAAAAAGTTAAAAGCTTTCAACAGTAGAAGAAAAGAATACTGAGTCGGACCTTTCCATTCCAATCCATAGATTCATCAATAGTTATCTTTTAATATAAGTGTGAAGGGAAGAAACTTATCCCTCATTTATCTTAGTCACCGTGCTATATATTAAATAATTCTCCACTGGAAATGAACCCACTAAATTTATTTTATAAATGTTTTTAATATAATATTTAGATAATGATTTTGCTGACATCTCTCCAGCATTTTCACATCACAGATGTACTTGAAATTAAACTTTCAGAGATTGTCTTCGTTCCTTCTTGCATAGTTCCAAGAAGAACAGAGGTAAAAATATTAGTTTCCTGTATTACACTTGGAACATATATGACAAATAAATTGATGTTTTCCCCCTCTTTTCTGCCAGCTTTTGGGAACTGAGAAGAACAGATTTTGATATTGCTAGAATGTTTTTTATTGCATTTTACTCCAGATCCTTCAGGCCAAAGTTTCCCCTGCGTTTGAACCATTTTACAAAATGCGTACTGAGTAGGCTTCATTGATTTCAAGGAGTCCTGCCCTTGGAATAATCCTAACCAAACAAGGAAATCTTGGTGCATTACTTCAGGGTCAACATGTGTACTTATTGCTATTATACTTGAAGTTAATTGTGGTTGCCAAAAGAAGATCCCAGAATGTCTTTGGGGTAAAATAATGGCATCTTTGTTAACATACAATATGGAGCATGATACTTCTCTCACTGAACTGAATGGGAGACCTCAGACTGACTACAGGGTTAGATCAATGAGGTTAAGCTTTTGTCTTCATTACAGCTTTAGCTCTAAATACAAGTTGATTGTGTTGCCATAAACCAACTCCCATTTGTAAGAAACTTTGCTCTTTGTGTGTCTATTTGGGGCTTGATTTTCATCTACACAGAAACTCCTTTATACTAGTGCAAGGGGAACTTAATGTGGATGTAAATGTAGGCTGTTTGTGGCTCAGTTACCTTGACAGAGCAGTGTGAATGAGAATCTGGTCAGAAACAGATCTCGCAAAAGCCCATGATGGCAGGGGAAGATGAAGCATAGAAAGCCTGACTTATCCAAAGACCCAGAGCAGATCAGAGGCAGAAACAAAAGTAGAAGCCAGGTTAGCTGATTCCCCTTCAAGTAGCTTTTCCAGGGGAAGGTAGTTAGCCATGTTAGTCTGAAGTCAGGCAGAAGACGGGGTAGACTAGCAGAAGACGGCCTTGTAGACTAACTAAATCACAGATGCATAAGCTTTCATAAGCAGCAGGTCATGGAGCCATCCAGAAGACAATACTTTCCAGAGTGTCCTTAGAGTCTTTCTCTATGTGAATAAATGGTTGGCCTGCATAGACAAATACAGAAAAAAATAATTTAAATGAACTGAACATAAAACTAATTTCACTAGTTGATACAGTTGTCCCTTTCTAAGTAATCTAGGACCCTTGTTGCACACTAACTTTATGCTCTTTTCAAAAACATGCACATAATAATCAGCCTTAGTTTTAAACAAGTATGAAATGCATTTGTTTTAAAAATGATTTATCTCTTTTATGGACAGGAAAGAGCCAGGATCTGTCTGGTCTATTTGGTAAATCAGCTAGCCAACATGGAGCATTCATCTCACCATATCCTTCTGCTGGAAATTAAGAGTATCACCGACACCTTCTCAAATATCCTAAGCACCCAGAGCAGAGATATCTACCGTATGAGCAACAGTTTCACTGCCATAGCCAAGCTTCTCATCCGACAGCTAGAAAATGACAACAGATCAGGAACCAGGTAAAAGCAGTTTCTGTACTGATCTTACATCAGTTCACTTAATATGTTTGTGACAGGGACTATACAGTTTCATTAGATGCACTCAGGTTGTAATGTAAAGAATATAGCAAAATGTAAGATGCAGTGTGCAATTATTCTACGGTGCCAACTGTTAACTGACATTGAGTCAATTGTATGTAAGAATATCATTCTAGAAGGTATCCTTTAACTCAATGAGAGCTCAATGAAGGAAGCACTTGTTGAAATTCAACAGCCTGTGTTATGCAGAAAGTCAGACTCCATGCTTACCTCTGACTTTAAAATTTATTGAACTATAAATTAGGGATGGTAGCTGAATGAGTAGATGGTATACCCTCCAAAATATACTTATATGGTGAGCAAGTGGAGGATTGGCACTATTCAAAAGGACTGGAAAGAATTTTAAAAGTTAAAAGACAAAAGAGTAAATTGCAGAGTATGGGCTGTCAAGGCCTGTTAGATGTGGAATAATTTCCCAAGGGAACTATGAGATACCCAGTCATTTCAATCTGTTAATACTAGTTTATTTCAAATGTTAAATAATACGAACAATCTGGCTTTGGCAAAGGACCAGAGTTAGTAGGACTTTTCTATTTTGTCTCCTATTATCCCCTAATGTCACATGAAGAATTAGGCAACTATCCAAAGGTGGTGAGGAACATAAGAAAGGATAGAGGCAGGTGGGCGGGCCAGAAAAGTTAAAAGTCGGTTGGACATTTCTTGAAATCCTACAAGGATTGAGTGTTTTGAGCCAGTTCTGTTCTCAGCTTCACCAAGTAAAGTCTGGATGCATAAGTCCAATTCAGCTTCAGAGAAGAGAGCCACCAGGAAGCACTGAGGGGAAACTTGAAGATAAGGGTGAAGATGTTCAAAACTATGAGCCCCAAAATAGATTTATAACTCCTAGCTGCCGAAGTGCTGAGAACCCTGAAGCTTCCAGTGAAACTTCTGGCTCTGACGGATGCTCAGAACCATTAAAAATTAGGTCACTTGTGCTGAAATATGGATTTAGGAGTTTAACCTGCATCTATTACTGAAAATCTTGGTATTATCTGTAAGGGCTGAGGGACAAAGCATAACACGTCATGGAAATGTGTCAAACTCACAGGAGTGACAGCTTGGTGGCATTCTATGGTTATCCAAAAGGGAGAAGGTAACAAAAATCCCCTGTCTTTGGAGGCAGTAGCAAAAGCTTATCCTGTCCATATATTTTTATGTTACTCACTCCCTGGGGGCACGTCTGTGTTTGAAATTGTTTCCCTATCTCATCTTGCATGTCAAACAGCATACTTATTTTCAAATATTTCTTTTTGTTTTTCATATATAAGAAAAGGCTTTACCATAAGTATTAACTCAGTAACCTGAAAACATTGCTCAGATTTTCTAATTTAGAATGAAAATAATGCTAGCAATTTTGATACGAGACCATCAAACATTCTTGACTGGAACTGAATAAACAATCTGGGTCAAATTCTGTCCTGTTGCAATTCCATTAAAGTAAATAGATTTACACAACACTTAAATTTATTCCTTCGGGGTGCATCCAGACAAGTGTGCACGTGCGGGTCGTGCGTTTCCTGGGGCACAAATAGCAGTGTTTCCCCTGGCCTCAAACAGCTTTGAGGTGCTGCAAACCACACATGTGCATTTGTCTGGACATACCCAAGATGTGAAAATAACTTCTTGTATGGGATCCTAATATAGAAGAAAAAGGCAACACATATCATAATACTGATCATTGGATTATTTTATTTTTAGAATCATCTAAGTGCACAAAATATTTTATAAACACCTAATAGACAATATCACTACACCTAGAAGCATATAATCTAACTCAGTGTGGGCCAACCTTTTTGACAGGTGCACCACAAATTAGCGCCATGCCCTCCCTGGGTACCACTCTGATCCTCTTTCTCTGCCTAATCTGTGGCTCTGCTTTCTACTTAGTGCCTTACCTGCTGCTGTGCTCCTTGTCCCCTTCCTGATCTGTCAGGTGCCACACACAGAGGCTGCCTGTGCCATTGTGGCACACATGCCACAGGCTGACCAGCCATGATCCAACTCATAAAATACAATATGCAAACTAAAAGATTAAATGAAGAAATATCCTTGGATAGCACCAAAGCAGAAGGATGTTGGAAGGGTGTAGGTATATTTTAAGTGAGAACTATAGGAGAATTAAAGCTAAATATCTGTGCTACCATACAATACCTGGATATACTGGAAGACTTTATCTATCCAGGGAGCAAACTATCGTCAAATAGACATGGTGAGCCAGACATACTGGGAAGAATAAGCCAAGTGGCTTCAGCAGTGACAGACTTATACAACATCTGGAGCTGAGAAAAAAATAAATCTTCTTACAATATCATGGGTCTCACACACCAACATTTCTCCAGTAGTTTCATATGGACCTGAAAAACAAACAATACTCAGGCTGGACAGAAACACATCCCCACGAGCACACACACATGATTTGTGGTGCCTCAAAGCAGTTTGGGGTGCTGCAAACCACACATGGTGCACACGTGCTGCTGATTTGCAGTGCGGCAATTTTTTTTGACACTGGGAGATCCTGGTGTAAAAAAAAACACCACTGAAAAAAGTGGCATGATGGCAGCAATGTGCACCACCAGAAAGGGAGCCTGGCCGGCCAGAGCAACACTCTGGCTGCCAGCCAGGCTCCAAGTGACTGAACTGCCACTGCTGCTTTCCCAGGAGGCCCCCAAGACCTCAGGTAAGGCTCCCCTACCCCACCTGGGAAAATTTGCCCCACACCAACTCCATATGCAGGGCCATGTGCAGCTGCAAAAAGCAGTGGCATAAATTTGTGCCACTATTTTTGCCATGGCAAAACCACATGGCCCTGCTTGTGGGGATTTGCTCAAAGAGGCTGGAAGAGTTGTTGCCAGAGTGGACATCTGGAAATACAATGGTTGACCTTATCTTCAATACAGGAGCAGAAATGAGAATCAGACATGAGAAAATTGAAGTCATTATTAATTGTCACCACTTGGCAATTATTGGTTCTGTTGCCTGCCTGCTATACAGAGTTCCTGCATGTCAGGCCCTGAGGATGGGAATGGTTCTCAGGAAGAGACAGCAACCTAGTCTGGACAGGAAGCTGCTCCTGGTTTTAAGCTTGTTCTCTTAATCTCTCAAACCAAGAAAGGAAATCTGCCAATGGCCTGCTGGCTGGGATACCCTGGGAGCAGAGTAAAAATGTCACAGCTCCTTTAAAGGTAGCTAACTGGCCCTTTCTGTACTATGATTGGATAGGGGCTCCTTCACTGCTTTAATGGTTAAAAATCTTCTAATTTCTAGACTAAATCCATTCATAACCAATTTATATTCACTTTTTTTTTGTTCCCACATTGTCTTTTAGCTTGAAAAGTTATGTTCCCTTCCTAGTGTTTATCCCTCTGCTGCATTTGTACAAAGCTATCATATTTTCTTTCAGTCTTTGTTTTGCTAGTTCAAACAAGTCAACCTTTTTTAGTCTTCTCTCCATTCCCTTACAACTAGTTATCCTAAACATTCATTCATCTTTCTTGACCATAGTCAGAATTGCCCACAATATTTCTGGTGAAGTCTTAGCATTGCCTCATTCAATTCTACAAATATTTCCCTAGCGATAGTTGAAACTGACAAATTCCATTTGTGATTCATAGTTATCCTGTGGAGGGTGTAGACAGAAGTGACAATTTTCACTTGATCTGGCCACAGGAAGCAGGTTATAGCTGTGACCAAATACAAGTGCATGGCTGCAAACAGCTTAAAAAATGGCCGATTGACTGAAAATCTGACCCCTCGTTGCATAAGGTATCAAATAAAGAGGTTTCAAAATGTAGTGTCTTCTGTAACTTGTGTCTCTGGAGCTCCTAACTTGTTGCTGTTTTCAGAATGGGAAGGGGGAAAGGGAGCAGAGAGAGTTCAGTCTGGGGTTTTTTCAGGCCCCCTTAGAGCATGGGGCGGGTGTATTGGAGCCCCACTCCGAGGTAGGGGGGCTCCAATTCACCCACCTCATCCTTCAGCACTGGCTGGGGAGCCCCAGGAATGAGCTCTCTCTGCTGCCTTTCCCCCCACTCCTATTCTAAAAGCTGGCAGGGAGCCTGGCCATTGCTATGGGAACCTGGCTACAGGCTCCCAGGCTGAGGCTATACTCCCCTCCCCCCTGGAACCAACACTGAACTTCTGTTTGGTCTGGGGTAATGTTGTAACTCAGAACACTGCAGAAATCATTCTCAGTTGCACTTCTGTCTTCAACTGCACCTTTAATACACCTACGTTTTCTCCCCATTTCCTCTAATTAATCTTTGGTAACTGAAAGTTTTATCTTTACCCCAAAAGACAGTGAGGAACGATGACTAAAATTGCTCTTTTGCCTTTAATAAATTAATAAATTTGCAAAATGAACAAAAACAGCAGAAAGTATTCTCAAATGTCTAAATGAAATATTTTGACTCCCTGTGCTAACCTCTTTAATTCACTTCTTAAGAGCTCAGTTTAATTCATTTCATAGTCACTAATTGCAACTAAGTATTTATTCTAATAAGGATGGCTCAACCAATACTTAATGTAGCTTACAGGCAATGTACAGCAGTCTTTTTATTTACTGCAAGCTTTATTAACAACATTATTTGGACTGTAACTGTAGTATGAAGCACTGCCCTGAAAACATACCACCTCCATACCAAATACCCAGCTGTTATGCTCTTCAGGGTTTTGTGTGCACAGAGTGAAAGCAAGTGGACAGAGTGTGTTTCCATGGTGGTGCTCCCTAAACCAAGTGCAGGTAGTGTGTGCATGCCCCAGTAGGTAAAGAGGACACAAAGGGAAAACACTTCTATAGCAAAATTCAACACAGATGTCCTCAAGCTTATGCATGTGAAGAATGTCCTTAGAGGCGAGTCTGTAATGTTGAAGCCAAAACACTCAGGTCATTCAAGAAACAACTAATTAGTATGCCAGAGAGAGTTAAA